AGCAGTGGGGTATTCAATAACAAGGGCAAGCTCTCAGTCTCTTACTCTTAAGGGTTTGAAATACAGCATGCCTGTGTTTTTGCAAGGTGATATTGGTTAATTTAGAGTAATCTAGTTCACAGCTCTGCTGAAAAACATCCACATGCATCTCTACAACACTTCTACACATCATAAAATGAATGTAGAAAGCTACTGGGAGATCAATATAAAAGGAAAGCATCAAATACCAAAAGAAAAACAATTATTTATGCATTGTGCATTGTGCAATGACTATGTGAAAAGCTCATATTTAATCCTATAATATACAACAAGTAGCAGCTGCCATAGCAACTCTGCGACACTGCATGCCAGGTTAACATCTGCAAATGAACCTTTTCCTTAAAAGTAGAATTCACCATCTATGCTTAGCCTTTTAGCATCTGCTGATAAGCATTAAACATAAATACCCAAGAAAATCAGAGCCGATGTGCAGTTCTTTGGTCAATAGTATTGGTTAAAATGTGTTATAAACACTGGAATACTCAGAGCTACAAACACATAGGTGTTTTAACAAAATGTGGGATATTGGCAGTACATGTCAGTATGACTACGATTTAACATCTTGAGAGTAGCTGCACACCAAATCATACCCAGCTTTTCCCCAGAGATGTGTCTACTCCAGGACTTCAGCGTGCAAGAAGAGGAGTCAGAATGCAGCTTTAAGGCACATTGGTGTTGCTGTCCCCATCTTTTATATACAGTCTATAAACTTAACCACTACCCACTGTTAGCTTTGGTGTTTTCTGATCTATAGAGTTTATTTTTCCCTAGGTACTTACACAGGTTTGCTAATCATTCATCAAGACACATTAAGGCTCTTTTGTACACTGATTAATGTTCTCTCTGGAGCATAATCTCATACAACACAATGTGAGATAAAACAGGACCAAAATCCAGAATTTGAAGCTAACAGGAGTAAAAAATAATAACGATAATTTTAAAAATCCACAAAAACTTTTTTTTTTAAAGCAGGGAAATGATCACAAATTTTTAAGCTGGAGCCTAAAACCCTCTGGTGAAATCGTGAAATGATTCATATCCTCCTCTGTATTAAAACACCACCTACAGCAGTGAAAGAGCAGACTAAGGCAATATTTATTATTCGGGAGAATTATGACTCCAACTGCGACCCGTACTAAACAAGGCTGTAATGGCCCACCGCCCCATTCACCTGCTCCATGGAGGATTATTTGGAGGTAATCTATTGTTAAACAGCTTTTAGAGTGATGGATGAAAATGCCTGCGACCTATAGACGATCAATTCATATCTAATTAGCCCATATTATTTATGACACATTCAATTGGCTGGGTGGGAGTCTCAGGGGAGGGATAGAGGAGTCAGCTGCCACAGAGGGGAAATGACAAATGGGAGAAGCTTCAGGAAACAGAACTGATTAGCATACACGATCTAGAAATGAATTTCCAACCAGCAGAGAAATTAAAGTTAATTTAGATGGAAGAGAAAGGAGAAAATACAAGTACCCACCAAAATAATCTGATTGATTGAAATTCTTAAATTATTATTTGTTATCCCAAATTTTTTAAATTTGCTCTTTAACAATCCAGAAATATAAAATGTAAACAGTTTAA